CATACCTATTGAAGGCCGATAGACGATACAGGGTAACGAGGTTTTTCTAGCAAAATCGCGAACTAATTCTTCAGTAGTGGCTTTACTAAAGCTGTAAATGTTGATCCACTTGTCTACGATGCTTTGAACCACTTCCTTGGTAACTCCAGCTGCGTCCCCTTCGTCAACACGTAAAATTTCTCCTCGATCGTTTGATTGTAATGATGAGAATAAGCAGTCGAAACATAAACGAATGCCATTAAATGACGGCATTCTCTCGCTAGTTCGAGCAGCTTTTGCGTGGCAATCACGTTTGTTCGTAAAATGCGAGACACTTTCGCCACGAAATACACCATTGATGCGTTATGAATTATTATATTCACGTTCTCCACGAGACGACGACGATCCTCTGGTGAGAGGCTTAAGTCCTCTTTCTCAAAGTCGCCGTAAATCACCTCGGTCTTTTCCATAAAGTTAGGATTCATTTCGCGCAATTTATCAAATATCTGAAAACGACAAGAGAATTATTTCTTCCTATAACGATATACTTGCGCGAGTGGTTATTAAGCAGTTAAAATTTTAAACTTTGGTCGTTAGATATAAAATTATCAATGAGAAAGACACGATTAAGTTTTTACTATTATGTATTAATTTCCTTTTCACTTTATTGTGGAATTATGGTACTTACGTCATTTTTAAAGAAATGATTTAGCCGTTCTTCTACCGATTTACCTTTCCTTTGCCTAACCATGATGTTCTTTACACGTGCGTAAGATTTTCTCCACAGCAACGGTGCCCAGAAAACCGGTGCATCCTGTAAGTAATACATGCTTGCCAGCATAAAACTGTCGTATTTGACCATTGCAGTTGTTCGCTGAACTTCTCTCGTCGTTTGGATGTGGAGTCCTGTTCGCGTCCTTCATTTTAGCACTTCTTTCCCCGATTATTCTATATTTATTTGTTTATAATACTTATTCGCACTCCTTTAATTTTTTCTCAATTTTATCATTCAAATTTCATCAAAATTATGTTAATGAAGATATAATGTTCTCTGATATGTCTTTAAGTGTAAAAAAGCATCGCAGTTCGAATCATGGATCTTTTATAGACAATGACTTACGAATATAATAGTTTGAAATGATAATTACGATGTTAAAGAATTCAAAGAATACAATGTCGTCAAATTTGCAA